AAATCTTGAAACTTCCTCATTTGACCGACAGAGGCACCCCCATCCTTGGAGGAGGGAGTGAGGGAGCTCAATGGAGAGTTGCAGCAAGAGAACAAGAATCTTCAAGCTCAGAATCTCTCCTTCCATGAAAGACACCACCTAATGTGTCTGAAGGTAAGGAAACAGTTAATTGTCCAGTTCCTTATTTTTTTTTTTTATAGAGAATAAAAATTTAAAGTGTGAGGACCACATCTAGCCTGTTTGCATCTCATGCCTTTTTTGGGCTGTTGTACATTCATGCTCAGATGATATAAAGTTATATTGTTGGTGCTTGCTTGTTTATGCAATCACTTAAAATGCCATATATACCACCATTTACAAGTAAATTTATTTGATATTTAATTTTATTGAATTATTTAAGACATATTTTTATATTGAGCTAAAGCCAATATGAATCTGATGTTGCTCATGGACACCAAGTGATAATGTATAGTAAAAATTATATACATCCTAGAATATTTACGTAAGAGATGTTTTTTAAAAGTTTTTCTAATTTAGCATTTTATCCTGTAAAGAAAAAAAAATAGGGTGGACGTTATATTGTATATTTATTTATTGTTATGATGATTATTTTTTTTTTTCAGAATATGCTTCCTCTGTAGAAATGATTTATCCTATTTTTTAAAAATTATAGGTAGCAGAACTGGAGGAGAAACTCCAGGCTATGGACACAGAAAAGGCTGAAATGCAAAACCGCATTGAGGACATGGAATATGACCTCAATAAAACCCGTTCTCGCTGTGAGAAGGTGGAGACGCACCTGGCGGAGACCTGTCAGAAACTGAAGGCCATGCAAGATGATGGAGGTGGAGGTGTGGGCAATAAGGGAACAGGGAATGGGGTACCGGGGAAGATTACACCTGCCATAACGTCTAAGAAAGTGAGTGCAGGCATATCTTTGCTCTTTGGTGTTTGTACATATATATTTGTGGAGATATAAGGGTGTTTGGTCACTTACATGTTTTCAAACATCTTTCTTATTTGAATATTGATTATATGTAATTTTCTTGCATTTTAGAAGTGTTTCAAAATGTTTCATATTTACTTTCATTTGTATTTGAATTTCAAATTATTATTCAGTTGTGATTAAGTTGAAATCTATTTTTCCTCAGTTATGAATTTTTTATATGTTAGCCCTTTCAGTGTTTTATTAATTTGTATATATTTATGTTAACTTTGCTCTTGTTTTATACATTATAAGTACAGTTATCCTTAGTTCCATACCTATGTTCTAAAGATATTACTTTTCTTTAATGGTGAAGATCCCCAAACAGTATCCTAAGTTAGTTTCTGTACAGACAAGGATGAAGAATAAAAACAAAGACCTTTTATGCCACTAAGGTACTAAGCAGGACCTATGTTTTATGTGAGGACTCCAGTGATGCAAGAGCTATTTAACGCAAGCTCCAGTGGTGAAGATGTCCATGATCACGTAACCCAGCTCCAGGCACGAAAGATATCAAAAGTCAATAAGAGTAATGCCGTTTTGCCATCTTCTCCCCTAGTTAATTTTTTAAGATCTTTGTAGTGCTTTTCTTTCTCAAAATTGGCGTGAGTAGTGATCCAGTTTATCTCTCAGTTATAAAGTAATTGTTGTGTATATAAGTATTTGCTTTAAAAGTTGCCCTTTTGGTTTTTGACCCTTTCAGCTTTGTAGCTTTTAATTTCCCTGGTCGTTGTGTTTAGAGGGTATGTCCCGTTAGTCTTCTCTGCCCTGTCACTCTTTAAGCTTTAGCTTGGAAGGTCTTCGTCACTGCTATTAATCTCCATCCATCTTGTCGTAATTAACTTAATAATTAACTTTTAACTCCTCTTTTCATGCCTTTAAATTTTAGTATTTACATAGTGCATTCAACATCGTGAAGAAGGGAACACTGAAGGGGTTAAGGACGCGATTTTGGTTGTTATTATTTGTTATTCACTTTCTTTTTTTTTTCTTTTTTCACCTTTCTTTCTTCCCTTGGTTTGGTGAATCTAGACCTTGCCCAGCAGCTATAGGTCCAGTTTAATTTGTCCGCCCCAGATGGAGGAGCTGGCGAGTGAAGTGGAGGAGCTCAGGGAACTCAGCGCCAAACGTCTTGACGAGCTGGAAAAGAAGACCAACGAACACAAGGAAGCCCTCAAGGAAGTGGAGCGCCTGAAGATGGATGTTAGATGCTTGCATACATTGTTTTTCTTCCCCCTGTATTAGGGTTGTAATGTGATCATCTTCATGGGATACTGGACAGTTTTGTTATGAGAAAAATGTAAGAAAAGTTTAGTAAGACGGCATACACAGATATAAACACAGACTTTTTTTTACCCACAGCTGCGACAGCTGCCAGAGAGTGTCATTGTGGAAACCACTGAGTACAAGTGTTTGCAGTCACAGTTTTCTGTTCTGTACAATGAGTCAATGCAACTGAAGACCCAGCTGGAAGAGACCCGGGCACAGCTTCAGAACAGCAAGAATGCTCATCTTAGGCAGATTGAGCAGATGGAAGTAAGTCTTGGGGAAGGAACTTTCCTCTGGTTCTTTTCTAGAGTTGTTTAATATCCTGCTTAAGAATCATTTTGTGTAAGTAGATTGAATGAAAATTAACCCCTTGGATCTGGATGACATTGAGGGTGATGGGTGACGTGAACAAAGCGGCAAGAGCGAAGGCCAGGGTGACGGAAAAGACTTGCCACGAGTGTACAAACCTCTTGGAGTGTGATTTTGACTCATTTGGCGCTTAGAGGGGGGCTTTAGCATTATTCCTATTGATAAATGAATGTGGAATGTAACGTGTGTAAGTAGTGATTGGAAGAGCGCTGGCTCCAAGGAGGACGTCATTTCCATGCTGCACACCATATTCCTGGCCGGCGTAACCGGTGGTGTGGGTTATATTACGTAAAATTGAAAATTACAAAAAAATGAGATATATGACACATAACCAAATGTTCCATATATTTGTTTTCTTGCACTGAGCTATTTACTATATAGAGAGATGATATAGTCTGTGCAAGGAAAATAAGTAATTATGATTTGGATAAAGCAAATCAAAAGGCAAATATGGACATTGGAAAATGGCTATAAAGCTAAAAAAAGTTTTCACAAAATAACTTCTCAAAGGGGAAGCAGTCTTGTCACCGCTCATGGTGGTTCGTGCGCACCTGGCCTATGCGCTGCACGCCTGGGATGCTGGCCACTTATGTATCAATTCAACCGGATCCAGGGGGTTAGATATAGAAAAAGCAGTAAAGGTTAAGTAATCTTTTTCACGGAGTTGAATTACTGAGAAAGGATTATGTTTTGTCAGTTTTACATAATTATTATGCAATAGGTGGTTTCACATTGTTGGAAATTTTTGAGAAGTTAAAATTTGCTAAGCAACAAAGAAAAATATAAAGAAAAGGCTTTAGTTATTAGAAAATAAGAGCAAAAGTTCACCAAAAGTTATCTGATTTTCCAGAGTGAGGAACTAACCTCACAGAAGAAGTTGCGTACAGAAGTGATACAGCTAGAGGACATGCAGGCGCAAGTGCGGAAAGAGTATGAAATGTTAAGAATCGAGTTTGAGCAGAACCTGGCGGCTAATGAGCAGACTGGTCCCATCAACCGCGAAATGAGGCACCTGATCACCTCCCTCCAGAACCACATCACTCAGCTCAAAGGGGAAATCCACAGGTACAAGAGGAAATACAAGGAATCTGCCTCAGAGACTAGTAAGGTAAGCACTGAGGAGATGCCATGGTGTAAACAGTAGCTTTTGTAATGTATGTTTGTGATGACAAGATCTTTTAATCCATTGCTGCTAGGATGGCAAAAATACATTTTTAGTCCGCCGTTAGTTTAGATAATTAGTTTTGTTACATGTAGATGGCTCTATGAGAGCTTATTCACCAAGATGTCAATTACTTGTTATAGGTGATCTCAGCCCTATACCCTTTTCCTGGATTTTTGGAAAGATTTTATTTATTGTTTGTTAGGGCTATTTATTGATGAAACTAAAGACATATTATTTCCAATAGTAATAATGGCAGTAATGATATTAGTTTTATTAGGAAAAAAAAAAAATCATGGAATGGAGATATCAGGTGAGGTCAGGTAGGCTTACCAATTGATTCCTTGTGACTGAGTGCTTTTGATACAAAACAAAACTGTATTTAACTTGTCCATAAAGGGTTAACCCAGTTACGATGGGTGTCCCACGTATGAGACACCCGTAAAAAAAAAAATTGCAGCGGGCTGCGACTGGTGCACGGGCAGATTTCCGGGCAAGCCCCACACGCAGATTTTGTAGCCACCTGGAAACTTTTATTTTCGGCTTCAAAATATACCAGCGTTAGTGGGTTAAGAGAAGAGATTAGGGAAGTGATTTTTAATATGAAAGTAAGACATTGAAATGGAGGACCTTTGATGCACTCAGCTATAAATACTACATGCTTATTTATGCAACAGTCTAGACTTTGTGGCTAGGCTTAAGCTGTGTATAACCAGTCCACCCATTGCAAGTCACGACAAGTATATAACTTGTTTGCCATATTTTTGGCTGTTGGAGATGGTACTAGAATGATAAAAATTCTTTATCCTCCTTCCAATTTGTAATTGTTAACTCCACCAAGGAGGTTATGTATTTGGTGTGTTGGTTATTTAGTTTGTTTGTTGATTAGCAGGATAGCTGAAAAAGGTATGAATAGATTTTTATGATTCTTTTAACCAGAGGTGTGTCTTAGCCCAAATTAGATGCCATTGAATTTTGGTGGTGATTGGGATAATGATTTAGATCCACGGATTTTTTAAAGGATTCATTAGCTGTGCGAGCTTGAAGTGAGTGTACTTGAGAAAGAGGTTATTTCAATGTAAATCTTCCAGTGTACTGAAGAGAAAGAGGGGATTTGAATGTAATTCTTCGAGTGTGAATATTTTTATTACATCAGTGACTGTTACCATGGCAGATGTATGCACTCTCTGAGTGCTTGTAATTCATTTTTATTTTGCTTTTTTATTTTTATTTCTGTATGTGTATTTTGAATGATAGCTCCATCAGCATTTTTATAGAAAAAAAAAATTATTAATCACATTTTTCTTTTCATTTCTTACAGCTAAAGCGAGAGGTTGAGGAGCTTCACCAGAAGCTGGCAGTCAGACAGAGGAGTGCGAGTGTGAGTGAACGGCAGGACAGTGTGAGCAGTGATCGAGGGGATGGACTGAAGGAGCAGGTAGGCAGAGCACACTTTTTGAGATATGTGCATTTGTGTGGCTTGTTGAAAGAAGTGAGACCCATCCTTGGTGGTTGAGGAAAAGGGGAAGGAGGGAGTAGAGAAGGTCGAGTGTAACTTAGATTTGCAAAAGGGTCAGGTCATGAGAGGGATCAGGGAGAGTGGTGGGAAAAAACAAAAAACAAACAAACTATTTTTGCTTCTTTACAGTCTAGAACACATGATGCACTAAGATGGAATAAATAAGACCCCCCAAATAATTATCATCGTGTATCAGGAACACCAGTATAGATTTAGGAATATGAGTTAAATATGAGAAAATCATGAATATGTAGAAGCAAACTCTTAGGGGGGAATTATATTTGGCGTTCATAAAGTGAAAATACAGACCTTGTGTAAAAAGTAAAGTTAAGAAAATGAGATAGAAACCTGCAGGTATAACCTCATAACCTGGAGGAATAAAATATCTTACTGTCACAACATATTAAAAAGTATGGCAAATATAAATCTTAGCAAAGGATAATACTGAAAAATACAAATCAGTCTCTTAGTGTTAAAGATAAAATGCTTGTATTGGGAGTGAGTGGTCATGTGTGCTAAGGTGATGAACAAAACCCCAGCTTGTGGCACGGGTGTCTATGAATACCATCCGGAGATGGCTTCTCTTACCCTACTATCCCTCTATGTCCCCACCAAACCATCTCACAGTCTCATTCCACACTCCATCCTTTAGGACCTCCTGCCAAACAATCACCTCCTGGCATGCTAAATGGAACTTTTGTTTTTCCCTCGCATTTTATATCTATATGCATATAAATGTATAATGCACTATAGATTATAAAGAGTCAATTTTAAACTTTGATGCTTCACTATTTAGTATCTATTTGATTTGTGAGATGTAATTTCTGGTGTATACATTTGAGTTTATCAGATATTTAAGACCTTGTAAAGATTGAATATTTGCAAGTATATGTGGCTAGGGGACTAGATGACTGAAGAATTTTGGTCTTTATGAATGATTACATGCCACAGCTATTTATGGAGAAACTGGAGACCACAGCAACAGTGTGTGCCAAATATCATTAGACCTGCACAAAGTGATTATTTCTTGTTTACCTTCACATCACTGAAGTGGAAGTATAATTGGAAAGTATGTATGTAATAGATGGAACATGGGAAATACTTTCCCATGGTTCTAGGATTGTTCTCAGGTTATTTTCTATAATTAGAATGGGACACCAATCTGAGAATGTACTTTAGTTCAAGATATTTGAATTGAGGAAAAGTCTTTTGGAAGTGCTTTATTAACAGAACTTGGTCCTGGTCCCACAGGTGGTAAAGGAGGAAGGTAGTGAGTCATGTGATTCCTCTGGGCCTCCCACTTCCTCCAACCAGCAGTCCTCAGTCCCAGCAGGTGCAGGAGGACCTGCTGGCGAGGATAAATCTGCTGAGGGCGGCATTGACGTCAAGAAGGAGGAAGGAGACGAAGAGACCAAGGTACGGTTGTTAGAATTATTTTATTAGTTTATGGACTGATGATAGGGGTTGTTGTCTTAAAATAGTAAAGAAAATAAAAGAAAGCCTCTGAAAGGCATAGATATATGTTCTCAAGTCAAGTTTATTAGAGCAAGTTGTCTATGCTGTATAATCTATTTTTCTTTTATGCTTTATTGTCACTGCTAAAATATGAAAATATTTTGTATTAACCCATCCGTCCCGGGTGTCACATATATGAGACACAAGGAAAAAATAAACAGTTTCGGGCTGCCCGCCAGTGCGATGCTGTCTCGGAGCCGTGCTCCGCGGCAAAAGCGGCGGGCGGCCGGGCGGGCGGACAGACTCCGGGGAAGCTCCGCCCGCCGATTTTGTAGCTTCCCGGATTTTTTAAATTTTGGCTACAAAATGTACCCCGGCGCGGGTGGGTTAACACTTTATACTTTTTTCAAGTGTTTCTGGGTCCTTTTACTAAATTTCAACTAAAGGGAAGCATTCTCATTCTCACAGGATAATGAAGAAGGAGGGGACAAGAAGGATGACAAGATAAAGAAGGAAGTGAAGAAGGAGGGGAAGGAAGGAAAGGAGAGCAAACAGGGTGGAGCAGCTGCCTCAGCCAAGGACACCAGAGAGAATGAGATCATCCGTAACCTCAAATCAGAGCATAAGTGAGACTAATAGCTTTTTGAGTTATTCATTCTATATGCCTGCCTGCCTTGCCATTAGTATTCTCATCTTCCGTTTTCCTCCCATGCACACTGGAGCCTCTTGAGTTCTTAAATTTTTTTTCTAGTCAGGATTTATTGCTGCACTTATGATTATGATAATAATTGTAGTAACATAAGTTTAACCCTTAAAGTTTGATTGGCCATGATAGAGCAGAGCCGCAGAAAACTACCAGGCTGTTTTTCCGATTTTTATAGCTGTAAGTGGGAGGTAGGGAGTATGAGGAAGTGATTTTGGTACTATTTGGCAAGTTTCTTTCAGCTTCATCCCCCAAACCCACCCCAATTACCCTACCCTCTTGTGCTCCTTCGTCTCCCTGAGCCAATTATACAAGTGGATCCTGGTTCTGTCCCCACATCTTTTCTCTTTGTGAATGAAAATAGTAAGTATGATATAAGAGTTCTTGTAAATTATGGCAAATACAACTGACTACCAACACCCCAACTCCCCCATTCTCTAAGGTACCCCTTCGTCTCCCATAATCAGTACATGTGCATCTATCATTGGCCCTGCCACTGAATGAACTTAGTAAATGCGAAATTAGAATCATCATGGTGTTGGCAAGAAAGAAAGAAAGAAAGAAAAAAAGAACTGTAATCAACTTTTTTGTCCCAACAGCTGCAAGAAAGTTCTGATTTTACAGTTTTATTATAAAGGCAAAGTTTGGTTGTAATCAATTGCAGAGCTTAATTTTACACATCACAAAATATGAATTTTGCTATCATATTTCTAAGCATGCAAATAGTGCAACATTGTAAATGTGTGAAAGTGAGGGTAGATTGATATGAATATGAATAAGACATACAAAAGTTTATTATATCATATAAAAAATTTAAATGCGATATGTAATGGTACGATAGCAAAAAGGGATGACGGAAAGGTCTGTGGTTTGGTTGGATCAAATATGCTAAACAGTATCGAAAGTGATATTTCACTCTAACTACATTTCATACACAAGAAGATGGAGGCAGGAAAACGACTCTTATTGGTTCAGGTAGGGCTACCTTGGGGAGCGAGGGGGCAATATCATTGGTGTGGCTTAAGGAAATGTGCCAAACAATACCAAATATTTTAGTGGAGACTACAATTTGTCTTATTCATAATAAAGTCAGGGGAAAAAATCCTCCCAGTTTTTAATAGGCCTTCCATGATCATAGAATAAAAGTGGATGCTCATTCCATGATAAGCCATGATTGTGGCAAATACGTCTGAAGGGTTGATGTAAAATGTAGAAAATTATAAACATGTGCATGTTTTCTGTTTCACTCTACACCAGAACTAGTCTTAGGCTGCCTAATATTTCACAGTACCATCAGGCATTATATGACCAGTTATTTTTTTGTATCCTTGAAAGCATAAGGGACATCACAACTGCAAACTTTGAATTTAGTGTCTCGTTTACCAGTTGTAAATTACTGCAGTCATACCTTGAGTAATCAGGGGAAGTCAGTGGTTTAATGTAGTAGCTCTTTATTACATCGCTATGTTAGTTACTTAGACTTCAAAATTTTCAGTCATACCTTCACTAACAGGGAAGATATCTGCTGAATATGTTGTTAACAGAGGAAGATTATATAGTCGATAAGTCTAAACAAAAGTGTTCAAAATAAATAACAATCAGTTTTAAAAACTTTAAAGGAACTAATCAGAGGAATTAATTTTTGTGTACAGTTTGGACGTTCACCCAGATTATACTGAGTGATGCAGTCAGAAAATGGGAAACTTCATTTTGCATCAGTGGCACTGCCAACGGGTCACCGTATTAGAAAGCTTAGGTTACTAGAGTATTGAGATGAAAATTGTTATCTCATTGGAGGACATGAGCTTAAACTTCTTTATCGTTTCCCTTGTAGGAAGGCTGTGAATGACTACCGGGAGCTGAAGTTGCTGCTCGACATGTACAAAGGGGTTGGAAAGGAGCAGCGTGACAAAGTGCAGCTCATGGCAGCTGAGAAAAAGGCACGCCAGGAAGTGGAGGAACTGAAGGCTCAGGTGAGGTTTTCAAAGGAGAATAGGACAGATTTTTCTCTACATAATATAGAAATGAGAGGGAAAAGTGATAAGGAAATGTGGTATAGATATTATAATAGATGATGGTAAATATTGTAAGAAGCTTCAATAAGATAAAAGAAATGAAGGCTTGTGTAGTATTCAGAGAAAAATGAGATCATATTATATATATTATGAAACTTGAAAACAGGAGAACACAATAGAATGGGAAAGGAAGAAGTGGGTTTGAAATCCTCTCATTCAAAAATTTGCTAGCAGTAATACAGTATTGCTGTGGCTAATTACAGAAAGAGAACATTTTTGCGATGACTGTACTGTAATTTACATGCTGATAATTTCATATTCATTATGTTAACATGCAAACCATAAAATATCCCAGGTGAAGAAACTTCAAGAGAGCAAGCGTGAGGAGCGAAAGAAGCTGGCTGATGAGGAAGCCATTCGCAAGATCAAGCAGCTGGAGGAAACTGTGCATCAGCTGCAGAGACAAGTGGCAGCCCAGAAGCAGGTGAGATTTAAAGGTTTTGATTATTGTGTTTTATTGTTTTTTTTTCATTATTGTTATTGTTATTTATTTGATGTTTGTTTTTTTGAGATTTTTTTTTTTTGGCTTCGCCCAAAATGCTTTACTTATTTTCTTTCTGGTATTAGGACCTCCTCTCTTTTCATCTTCATCATCTCCCACAACCCCCTCCTCTCCTTTCCACAATTCTTTATTCCTCTCTTTCTCACATCCTTTATGTTTCTCCTTTGTAGAAAAGGTATGAATGGGAATGAATAGGTTCACAGTGCAAGAGATGGTGTTATTAATGTCTCATTTTTTGAAGATACTCATTCTCATTCAGTAAACACTTGCTCCTTTCCCTGCCGCCCCTTCACACCATCTGTCCTGCCTCCTTCCTTTTCCCCCGTCTTCCTCGAAAAGTTAATGCCATGTTCTTCTATGTGTCTGCTCACAGGAAGAGGAGACCCTGCTGAATGAGATGGAGGTCACGGGCCAGGCCTTTGAAGACATGCAGGAACAGAACATTCGCCTGATCCAACAGCTGCGGGAGAAGGACGATGCCAACTTTAAGCTGATGTCAGAGAGGATAAAGTCCAACCAGATCCACCAGCTTGCAAATGAGGAGAGGAATGTCCTGCAGGAACAGGTAAGAAGCAGGGAGTACAAGGTCTAATTGTAGAAGACATTAGCTTTTACAAGGATGTAAGTATAATTAGCTTGTTAACACTCAAAGAACATGTGTTCTTAGTATTTACAAATGCAGTTTCACAGACTTCTATGAATATGCAAACTTAAATTGCCCCCTTAACCCACTCACGCCGGGTGTCCCATATCTGAGACACCCAAATAAAATAAACACTCCGCGCGTCCCGCCAGTGTGACGCTGTGTCGGGGTCGCGCTCTGACTCAACAGCGGGCCGTGGCTGGCGGCGGACAGACTCCGGAGAAGCTCCGCCCGCCAATTTTGTAGCCGCCCGGATTTTTTAATTTTGGTTACAAAATGTACCCGGCGTGACTGGGTTAATCGTACTATCAGTCTTTACTGCGTACAGAATTGGTTACTTTAAAAGTTTTGTGGCCTAGCCTAGCCACAGTCTAGACTATGGATAGGCCTCAGCTGTGAACAGCTGGCTCACCTGCTGCAAGTCATGATGTATTTACATATCATAGGCTGTAATGTCATGACAGCTCTAGCCGTCACTGTCCCAAATGAATTCCCACGTTATTGTACTATACACATGAAAAATTTTCATAGTAAGACTATGTTAATAAAAAAGGGGAAGAAAAATAGAAGAAAAGGAAGAAAAAAATGTGTTACCTTCTGCAGGTGCACAGTAATTTTGAATTTTCAAGATTAAGATTTCTGCCATTAAGAAAATTGCAGATGCCAAGCACAGAATCTAATAATGGTTACTGTTGTTGAATAAAGCGTTGTTTAATTTGGAAATGTAAATTTAGATCTTATGCACAATTTTTTTCTAAATCAATAATCATGGCAGCAAATACTGTTACCATTACAAATATTGTTGGTAACATTATAGTTGTGTAATTTCATTTTATTTTATATACTTTGGTTTAGCCTAAACAAGTGATAACAGATGAATGAGCTACATGCTAACTCAAAAACAGTAAACATATTAATATGATTTAACAACCTTTAAATGACAACCATTTTATTGCAGACAAACACCCTAACAACACAAGTGGAAGCCCAAAACCAAGTGGTGCGCAAACTTGAGGAGAAGGAACGTCTTCTCCAAAACACCCTGGCTACGGTAGAGAAAGAATTAAGTCTAAGACAACAGGCTCTTGAAATGCATAAGAGGAAGGCCATAGAATCAGCTCAGTCTGCAGCTGATTTGAAGTTACATTTAGGTAAAGTGGAGTAATTTCAAGATTTATTTTTTTGTGTGTGTGTGAGTAGGAGGGAGAGTACAAAATTAGACACTGGAATAGGATGTCGGATAATTTTCCGAATTTAGTGTCTCATTTTTTTTTGTTCTCCTCCATCAGAGAAATATCATGCACAGATGAAGGAAGCACAACAAGTAGTGGCAGAGAAGACCATGGCACTGGAACAAGAGGCCTTTAAGTACCGAAGGGTCCAGGTGCGTGTGAGATTACATATTGTTGTCGGTTATTGTTACGTGTTCTGAAGCAACCGTGTCTATACTCTTCTTTGTCTTTTTAAAAGCTGAAAAGAGGGATTGTCACTATTGCCAAAGAAACTCTTTAAATTGCTATGTCATTGCAGGAGGAGATAGCAAGTCTTCGGCGGAAGGTGGAGAGAGCCAAAAAGTTCGAGATGGCGGATAGGGCGGATGAGGTGCTCATGGAGGAGATTAGAGAATACAAAGACACACTCACTTGTCCGTCTTGCAAGGTAAGGAAGTTGGCATGGCATTTGACCAAGAAAGGTTCAATATTATTTTATATAGGGGGGTGGAATACTGTTATCTAATATGGTTAGACCAAGTCAATTACATAACAAGGCTGTAATGTCACCCAGTCATGGCTCATGGAGAGTACACGCCACAGTTGTTTATTGATGGAAATAATGAAAAAGTGCCTTCCTAAACACCAAATCAGTCAAATCTACCCCCAAGAGCTTTGTGCACATGATGACTCTTATCTTTTAACCCGGCCTTCAGCTGAAATGCTCATGAGGACAAGTTTGTGTCATTCTGAGCCACAGCCAGATTTCCCCATGATGGCATGTTGACATCACCTACACCTCAAGCCAAATGTTTTCATGAAGTGAAGTGATGGTCACGTCATCCAGATTGTAGTTGTTAACTGATTTATGTTACCTGAATGACCTCCATTATTATTTATTTTTTAAATGTACATTATTTTTTGCAGGTGAAAAGAAAAGATGCTGTCCTTGTGAAGTGTTTCCATGTGTTCTGCTTTGATTGTTTGCGAACGAGGTACGAGACAAGGCAGAGGAAGTGCCCTAAGTGCAATGCTGCCTTTGGGGCTAACGACTACCATCGTCTGTATCTGACCTAGCACGTCTGTTGGCTTAAATTATATTTCCTAATATTAATGTTATTATTATCATTATTAATTTTATTTTTACTTAATTTTCTTCAACTTTCGAAGAGTGAAAAAGTGCTCAAGAGTAAGCTTATTTGTTATGGACGAGAAATATTTTTTCAACAAAGTAAATAAAATTGAAAATTCCATTTAAGAGCTTTAGGAAATGTGTGTACGCTGTAAAGAATTATGATAAGGTACATACAAACAAGGAAAAGATTGATGAATTGATTTCGTCTCTTGAGGCAGACCTCTTTTGTCATAAAAAAATATTTGTAGCGGGAGGAATACATTTTAAGAATCCTGTGGACTGATTTTCTATAGCGTTTTTGTTTTATACAGTAGAGCATATGTGTTCATGTTGCTGTTAAAAATGGCGGGGGTTTATCACTGGAGTTGTGAGAATGATGTACAAGCAATATACATTTTTTTTTCTTTTCTATTCTATTTCTTTATGCTGAATTGTTCATGATGTCACTGGACATCATATATATCCTTTTCTCACAGCTTCATGAGGAATACGAGAGAGAGCGAAGAGTGAACGAGAGAGAAAATAGCATTCCAGATTAGATGTTCCATAACACTGATTGAACAACTGACACCTTGCAATTACAAGGCAGTTGCATTCAAAGCAATTATTCCTTTAATGATGGTACACTAAGCAAGAAGATCCTGAAAAGGCATTTTGTGCCCCATTTTTTTCATTTTGATTAGGGCAAAGCCTAGACCTGGCACTGGATCTCGTTTTTATTTATGAAATTTTGTACTTTTAACATGGTCTTCATAAGCTTGATGATTTTCATACATTTACAGCTTAAGAATGTAAAGCATTATACATTAAAGGAGCACTTATTTACCAGTGAAGGTAATAATTGTTTATAAAATTGTATCAATTTTCATACATATTTCAGAAAATATTTAGGTATTAAAAATGTTGTAATGCCATACATCATAATGTATTGGATGTCAATTACAAAATAAATGTTTATTGTGGTAGTTTCCTTTTACCTTTTTATTTATTGCAGAATTATTTTGCAGGATGGTTTTATATGACTCTTCAGCAGTTAAATATTTCATGTCATACAAACCTTTTTGCCGTAAAAAAAAAAAATTACTGCAGTGTAAACATTAGCAACATATTCAAAATATAGGGATAGGTAGATGTATAAAAAAGTTTTTTGGTTCATAAGGTGATGTATGTGGTTTTCCAGAACGTGCAATGGTCAAAAACAAATGCACAAGACCTCAAAGGCCATACAGCTCTATGATAAAGTATTGTGGCAAAAGTTGTAAAAATGAATAACGATTAGGACAACATGCGTTAGATGTAAAAGGTTGTAGAGTTCTATATAGATAGGTGTGCTAGTGAAAAGGATAAAGAGTTGATTAAATGTGTTACGTCAAAAGTCGAACATTAGTTCAGGACTGGCATTGAAAGGAGCAAAGCGGGGTGAAAGTAGAGAGGCTAAGTAAATGGCTAATGTTTGGATTTACATGGAGGATGATGGATGGATGGATGTTGGAAGTCATTTTGAATGTAGAGGGAATGGGAGCAGAGAGATTGGAGGATGGATGAGGTAGGAATATTATCATGGGTCATCTGATAATTCTAAATACCCCCAATCCCATGCTTGGTGCTGTCATGGGGGGCTTAGGAGACGGCGATTGAGGCCCAATTTAGGGGGTCACTCCTCTCTTGGACCTCAGCTCTCACCTCATCTAAATTTGCATGGTCTTTTCTTAAGAGGGCATTAGGCTGTTGAGTTGTTTGACAGGGTGGCCTAGACGCCAATAATTCTGGAATTCAAGGGAAGGAAGGTTGGTATGGTCGGACATGGCCAATATAAACATGAGGTCATCTTGGCAATATTGATGGAGGGAATGGTGTAACATTGTACTGATATTGCATCATGGTTAGGCAGGTGAGTAAGTTTTCTCCACAGTCCGACCAATCCTTGTAGATGGCATCTTTCCGAGAAGATGGAGACGGTTCCAGTACAAGTCTTGAGGAAGGGATGAAGCTGGGTATGGATGGATTAGCCAATGAAGCCAGGTAATGCATTAGCTTGGGATTCAAGTGTAATTATGACAAGTTGGGAGCGGTCAGGACGGCTGCGGAAAGAAACTTTGCTTTCTTGTTTTTGAAGACATTGCTAGAAGTGTTGTCAAAGGAGCTGTAGAGAGGATCACAAAAAATTAATTCCATTTGGCTGGGCTAAACAGATAACTCAAAAGATTTGTAGAGGTAGGAGTAGTAGACGGAGTGGCCCGTGTGGAGTTCAGCGAATTAATTATGTGGAGAGGTGAGCAAAAAGGCTGAAGAGTTGTAGTAAGGGAAGAGGTAGCAGTAGATAAAGACTAGAGGTGAAGGAGATGGGAGTGGAGGATAAGGGGACGAGGGAAGGTTTTCCGGAGGTTGAGTAATAATCTGCGTGGTTGATTTGAACTGGACTTGAGGTGACAGTAGGCATAGGGGAAGGGGCAGTTTTCAGAGTCCTGGTCAAAGAAGAGCCTGGGGTCATGGAAGCAGGGGGAATTAAAATCAGTAGGGCTAGCTGATAAAGGGGCAAGCCTTGATGCATTTAATAAAGGTATGAAATCTTTATTACTGGTCATGGTAAGTCTAGAACATATTGGGGGGAAAGAGTCCATCCTTCAGAGGTAAGTTTGAAACGGGAATAACCCTACACCGTTCATGACTGGCACAAAGTCAGCCTTTCATCCATAGAACACGACTCACACATGAAGAAGTGGATAGTAGAAGGGGTTGGAGAAGATAAAAGTTATTGTAATTGCATGAAGTATTTCATACAAGTTATTTCTTCAGTTCCATTTATTTCCAAGATGTGGAATTTGTATACAATTTTAAGAATAAGAATTGCCGAATCTCTAACCTTTTCTGTTGAAATTTTGCTTTTCGAATATTCTGAAACTTAATTCGAACCCTCTGAGGGAACTGCTGCAGTCTTACCATTTCTTCATTTAGCTTTTCTTAACTACAAATATTGTTCCCTTTTCTTGCCATAGTGATATTACTTTTCATTTTACTTGTATTGAATATCACAGAATGTAATAAAAAGATTATGTCCTAGGCGCTAGAGCCAGGGGAAAAACAATCACAGGTTTTCCTTTTGATCAGGCATGTCAAAAAATCTTTTAGACCTGTGAAAACATTACTATTGCAAAAAGGTAAAGCAATATTTTAAGTGAAATTTATTTCTGAGTCATTAGGTGTCGATAAAAAAACATAGTACCATATAAAAGTTTATGTTTCACAAAATATTAATTAAAATATCAATTATACGACTGTTAGGATCAAAGTCCTGCAATATTAACACGACGCCTTTGAACAATAAATAGATAAAAGTATCAAAAAAGTAAAACTCATGAATTACATAAACAGTTAAAATGCCATAAAAATTATACGTGAGAAGTTACACAACTTCATACCGAATATGGAATCCTTTAGAATTCCTCATGGACTTATACACCACATTTAACTCATTGCCAGAAGAGAGGAGGGAGATTGGCAGATTTTTTTCTCCGCAGACTCTTGTGCTTATTGGTCTGTAGTAGCTCCTGCTTCCTTGAAGATCCACCACGAGGTAGTTTTCCGAACATCTCCCGATCTTTTTACCCTCGACTGAAATCTTGATCTTCTTGTTTGCGGGAGCCTAGGGGGAAGGTTTTATATAAATTACAAGTCAGGGTAAGTAAAGTGTACATAAGAATGATGTACTTGTGTAACTGCTGTCGTAAATGTTCTCGATTTAGATTATTTTTTTTATAAAACAGCCACAAAAATGCCTTTATGTTATAGGGTACACGTAAGCTTCGAAGAGTAAAATGCTGATACTTGTATTACACCAAAACTCAGAAGAGCAAGACCTATATATTTCAGCGGAAATATTCATATTGAAGAGACAAAGAGAAACAAAAATACAACACCTACTCAGCACAGCGACAGCAAGAATTACGACACTACACTCATGGGTCCCAACCTAGGTGCCACAAGATACTTCCTAGGGGGTCATGGAGCAGTATGGAAATTACGAATATGAATTAAACTGGATTTTGTCTAACATGGCAGACGCTGGACGGGGTCATGAATATCATTATATATTTGTCGGCAGCCACAATAAAAAAAAAGTTGGGAACCACCGACATAGATCATAAGCACAGACAAGTACCTTAGTTGAAAGTCACTACCGAAATCGCAATTCTTACATCAATCTAATGTTTGTACCTGTGCGAGTGTGCGCGCGCAAATGAATGAGCGAACGTGTGAGCGACTGCGTGCGTGCTTGTGCGTGCATGTGCGTGCGTGTGCGTGCGTTTGAATGTGCGCGCGACGATACGATACCGATGCTGGTTACATGACAATGACGATAATGGATGGCGATGACGATGTGATGATAATGATGACTGGTGATAAAGCACTAGTATGATAAAGAATATAAAATTAAACTGTCAGTGATTTTCAAACAAGGAAAATAACATGTCTGAATTCAAATTAATAAGCACATACAAGTGCCCTATCAGTTAAAAGTAATCGTTGCCGTTATCGCGATTCATGGAATATGAAAATCATGACGTCGAATTAAACTGAATTTTATCTCACCTACAGTACACATAGTTAACTAACCCATATCAATAAATTGGATTTTTTTCTGTAAAGCGTTATTGTCCTTTAGGTACTGACACCATTACACTATTCATAACTAGTAATAACTGAATCTGAAAAGATGACAGACGCTAAAGATGATGACATATTCGCCGGCGGCCACAGAACGAAAAAAATATTAGCAACCACGGCTTTACACCAACAAAAGCATCATCAACAACAACAGTAACGACAAGGGGACAGTACTTGAGATACAACCCACACAAGGCCGCACTCACAATGATCCACCACTCGCACACGCACTCCCGTCCGTGGAAGCTCGGGAAGTTTGGCGTCGTGATCATTCCCGCCTCTCCTGCAGCTGTGTTTATGATCTGAAATTGGAAATAGGATAATGAAAAATACAGGGTGATATTGACATTTCGAGCAAAAAGGGTTTTTGTTCTGTAACTATATATATATACGTTTTGAATAATGAGGATTTCTAATTCATGACCAGGAAATTACTGATAAGAGAGTGTGCCAAATTGCTCCAAGAATCTATTGCGTTAATCTGAGATCAATTGTGCTTGGCGAATTCTTCCAAAAAGGAAAAAAAAAAACACTATGTAAAAAGAAAATACATAAAAACGAAAAACATTCCAAAGAATAAATGAGCAAGCATATAACCAAATATCTAATTAAACTTATTTAGTTAATAGTTTATCAGCAAACAAAGAAATACACGCGCACGAATACCGCCATCTACTTACACAAAATATAAATAATTAAGTCACTCACTTGTAGTCTCAATCTCCTCTCTTTCAAATACATTTTAAGTCACACTTGTAGTCTCACTAACTACTCTCCTCTCTTTCAAATACCTTTCCCTGCTAGATAAGTAAAAAAGAAAAAAAAAAGAAAAGAAAAACGAAAGCGCAAACCACAAGAACCTTATGGCAAGCCGAGTTGCTCTGGGGCTCGAAAGTGATGTTGAAGCCTTGATAATTGTAGTACTTGTCTGAGGCGAATCTTGCTGTGAAGGCGCTGCTTGGGAGGAGAATCTTGCTTGTCTGTGATCCGCAAAGCCTTCGCCAAAATGGGAATGTGGATGAATTGTGGATGAATTGGCGATATCAAGAAAAAAAAGACGAAATTCGTATTTGTAAACATATTTTATATAAAATTATATATAAACAAACAAAGAGAAACAGCCACTGAGAAATAGAAATGAGTAAAGACAACCGAGAGAAAGAAGGGAAAAATGAGAAAGAAAAAAAGAAAGGAAAGAGGTGAAAAAAGTAGGAATAAAAGAAAAATGGAGAAAGAAACGAAGGAAAAAAAAGGAGAAAGAGGATAAGGAAAGAAGGAAAGACATATGGAGAGAAAAAGAGAAAGAAAATAGGGTGAAACTACGAAACGAAGAGATACATTGTATTCATGTAAAAAATAAGTACGAACGAGAATTAATATCTTTACTATACAAGAGATGTAATTGACTGGTTTCGAATATGTATTTCTGAGAAAGATGCATTCAAAACCGGCCAAATACACCAAAGAGAAAGAAAAGCAAATGTGGATGGAGAAGGGACGAGAAGAGAAGAGAGGAGAAAATAACAGGAGAAAAAGGGAAGAGAAGCGAAGAGAGGGGAAACAAGGAAAGAGAATGAGTGTGTATCATAAGTGTATATATGCATATGTACTACATGTCGTTGTCTGGTCATTCTAAAAGCTAATATGTCTGTATTCATATATAAGCTAATACATGCATGCCTATGTCTATGTCTACGTATATGTACATGTGTATATGGGAATTTGGCTTATCTCCGCCGGTCATACCTCGTTTCTTGGCTGAAGGGTTCTACCAGGTCGACGCTGTCCACACACACGCCTCTGGCCCTTGGCTGGAGTTTGAAGTAGTCGAACTTCACCTTGACTGCGACCGGGGAGTTCTATGGGCAATAGAAAGTGCAGGGAAGAGAAGAGAGGAGAAAAAGGGACGGGAAGAGAAGAGAAGAGAAGAGAAGAGAAGAGAAGAGAAGAGAGAGAAAAGGGACGGGAAGAGAGGAGAAAAGGGACGGGAAGAGAGGAGAAAAAAGGGACGGGAAGAGAAGAGAAGAGAAGAGAGGAGAAAAGGGGACGAAGAGAGGAGAAAAGGGGACGAGGAAGAGAGGAAGAAAAGAGAAGAGAGAGAGAGAGGAGAAAAGGGGACGGGAAGAGAAGAGAAGAGAGGAGAAAGGGACGGGAAGAGAAGAGAAGAGAGGAGAAAAGGGGACGGAAGAGAAGAGAAGAGAGGAGAAAAGGGACGGGAAGAGAAGAGAAGAGAGGAGAAAGGGACGGGAAGAGAGAAGAGAAGAGAGGAGAAAGGGACGGGAAGAGAAGAGAAGAGAGGAGAAAAGGGGACGGGAAAGAGAAGAGAAGAGAGAGAGAAAAGGGGACGGGAAGAGAAGAGAAGAGAGGAGAAAAAGGGACGGGAAGAGAAGAGAAGAGAGGAGAAAAGGGGACGGGAAGAGAAGAGAAGAGAGGAGAAAAGGGGACGGGAAGAAGAAGAGAAGAGAGGAGAAGGGGACGGGAAGAGAAGAGAAGAGAAGAGGAGAAAAAGGGAAAAGAGAAGAGACGAGAAGAGAAGAGAAGAGAGGTGAAAAAGGGACGGGAAAAGAGAAGAGAGGAAATTATTAACATGTATTTCACAACGAAATGGTTTCATTTTGTTGTTTATGGTAACTTTTATGTTGATAAGCATGATTGATGAATTCGCTACCAGTCAAATAATATACAGAATTCCTCGTCATGCTTGAACTGATCTATTCTGAGGTCATGCAACATGGACCTGTCTAAATGTTACAGTAAAAGTATCTTACGAAAGCAAAAGTAGAATGAAAGAGGAAAAAATGCACTTTTGCGAAATAAGAGATGCAAGAAAATGGCAACTTACAGGAACCAAGGTGAAAAAGCACGAGGAATTCTGCGGGTACTTTTCGAAGCCAAAAAGGGGCGAGTTCCAGTACACGTTCCCCAGGTCCTCCAGCAGACCGCACTTCGAGTCTCCTTTGGGCGGGAGCAGCTTGTTCACAGCGGTGTTCAAGGAGAAGATGGTCATCCCGCTGAGCACCGTCCTGGTCAGTTCTTCAGGCAGGACGGGCTTCTCTGTGCCAGCTTTTCCTTGCGTCCTGCACCCCGCTATCGGAAGGAACCTGACCTGGGCTTCCCACCCTCGGGAGTAGCGAGATGTAGTGTGGTAGTAGAGGATTATGCTCCCTGAGTGGATGAACTTCCGGCCTTGGTGGATCTCGTTGGCGCAGTACCTGAGGGGAAATGGGGTCAGAGGCTTCATACTCGGTCGCTGTGGCTGTGGCTGACAGATCCTAGTTTCCTGACACACATTCTCGCGAAATTGAAGTCTCTCGATGGCTGACATTTATCTGCATTTACAGTTCTGATGATTTTATGTTCTATGATATGCCGATGATGATTTTATCTTTCACCAACTTTTATTTTTACTTCACTAATTCTTACCAAGACACAATCCACAGCCCTGTATAATTAACATCGGATAAGCACTTCGCAAATACCTCTGTCGTATCCTCACACTTCACCAGTAACGCTTATTCTCTTTTCCTTTCTTCCATCGACATACCACTGATTAAGCCTTTCCTCCTCTACGACTCCCTCTATCACTTGCCACCACTTACCTCTCCGCCTTCCCTCAAGCACTTACCACGTTCTCCGCCTTCCCTTGAGCACTTACCACGTTCTCCGCCTTCCCTCAAGCAACTCAAGCACTTACCAAGTTCTCCGCCTTCCCTCAAGCACTTAAGTTCTCCGAGCCTTCAAGCCTTCCCTCAAGCACTTGCCACGTTCTCCGCCTTCCTCACCTTCCCTTGAGCACTTACCACGTCCCCACATAAGGGTCATTGGTCCTGATTTCGAGTCCATCCCAGTAGCAGCATAGTTGATTGTTCTGGCACTGGATACGCGGGTACATGGCGAAGTTGGTGAAGGTCAGCTCCACCTGGTGGCACTCTGGGGCAATTATCCATTTGGTGCACTTCACGCCTGGAGGAGGAGCAAGTGGATGACGCCAAGGAGGTGGTAAAACGGAGGAAAAAGGAGGGAAAAGTAGGTGAAAATGGGTTATGCGAGAGGAAGGTAGGAAGGTATGTGGGAAGGAAGATATGGAGGAAAGAAGGCAAGCAGCTAGTAAGGTGGAGAGGTGGGAGGTAGATGAGCAGAGGGTGAAAGAGTGATGGAGGAATGGAGGAGGAAAGGCAGAAGAAAAGGAGGAAAGCTAAAATGGTTAGAGTGAGATTAGAAAGGAGAAGAAATGGAATGGAGGAAAGGGAAAGGGAAAGAGGACAGAGGGGATAGTAAGGGAGAAAAATAGGAAATAGGCGAAATAGGTGAAAGGAACAGGAACAGGGAGAAGCAAGACAGAGGAGGAGGAAAACAAGGAAAGACAGGAAGCTAGACAATAGGGAATGAAATAATCACGATTATTCGAAGAGGCAATAAATTTAAACTTTTCGACTCGCTCGCAGTTCCGATGGCCTAAAAAAGCCTTAGACGGAACCAATGAAAAAGAAAAAGAAAGGTTTGTAATATTTATGCTTTTTTAGATATAACCTAAGATATGTGACGTTCAGATTGACATAAGCAAGATATAAATTGGATCACAAGAAATTATTTTGATTGGTAAAATATCAAGTCAACGCCCGTCTAAAAAGGTAAAGGCCAAAAATCTACTTAATAATATAGTGCAAGTCTTAAGCTACAATTTGACGTAAGCTGAAGATAGATTTGACATCAATAGACTGAAAAAAACAGGTTGATTTTGAGTTAGATTATAATTATCACCAAAATCAGCATATATATTGATTGAACAAAGATCATTACTTGGTAGATCTATATAGTAGGAACGAACAGAAATATAGAAAAAGTAAAATAAGTTCAAATGTTAACAGGACAACGACGGGTGGCCTGTTTCGAGCTCCTAGCCAGAGTAGGCAAGGTGTAGCAGATGCATTCCAGGCAGCTCCTAGGAAAGGGGGTTAGGGGACAGTCCCCTAATCAAACATAAAAAACTTTTTAATGAGGAAATAATCTCAAAATCATGCGGTCGCAATGCAAAAAAAAAAAAAAAAAAAAAAAAAAAAAAAAAAAAAAATGTGTATTTCGGCCATTTATTTGTAAAGGTTTTGTTATTATTCTAATAAAGATGTAATAATTTCTATGTATTGATGCATGTTTGGCAATATAATCATATACATTATATGTCACTAATGTTATGTGATCGTAGGCCTATAAGTATGTATCCATGCATGTATGAACTACCAATTTACAGTTGTTAACCAGCCCTAAATTGCCGAATGGGTAGTTTCGGGCTGGGAGGGGCGAAGGAATTATATGAAGAAAATAAATGCTACTACAAAGTCATGATACGATATGAAATATATATATATATATATATATATATATATATATATATACATATATATATATTAGTAAATAAGCTATTCGCAACCCCCTCTAAGTAAGTCTGAACTGACCAAGAACATGAGCACGAGTGAGCACAACCCCGCTGAACGACGTCGGACGTTTAGTTGGGCGTCGAGTCAACAGATGGCGCTGGTGGACGACCGGGATCACATTTTTTAGAATGCGTTAGATAGCATGTTTCCTGTCTTTCGTATACAGTCTTTGGACGGAACTTAACTGCTGGTGCCTGACATACAACCCCCCCCCAATCCTTAAAAAATCCCAAATTAGACGGGTAAAATCTAAAATAAAATGGAAAAAAGTCAACTGATTCGTCGGGAAACAAAGAACTTCTGAACTTGTCGCACAAAAAAGAACTAGCACCCCTACGCTACAGGCTATGCAGTTCTCCTGTATGTTAACTTTAGGCCGAGCAGTGCCATGCTTATCTGTAAGAACAGTAACACAGGATTCGATTTCCGCATCTGCTTTTGGCAAGGGCATAGTACGGCTACAATGTGGATTTTGTGTTGTGCATTTTTTTCTCTGCTCATCAGCTTATATGGCATTTCAAAACCAGGACAGAGTGGCAGTTTATATTACAAATAACGTGACAATGCTACGTCTGTTGATGTCCTGTTCATCTTCATTTCTATTCAGTAAGGTCCAAAAACATTTGAGAAGGTTTCCAATTCATGTTTTCTATGGAAGACTCGTCGGGAAACACACAAGGTAGTCAGGCAAGACTATCATCCTTAAAATTATTATGTTAGATGCGCTCAGCCAAATATGACCCTCTGGTTTAACCCTACAAGTAAAACAAATCCGAGTTCAACGGGAATAATGGCTATCTGATTAATTCTAGAAAAACGAAGTATTTCGAAAATAACGGTCACAGGGCAAAGTCAGGGCATGCCAGAGGGAAGATGATCCGCCTATATACCTAATGAACAATACAATTTCGTTACATTTCTATGGTGCAAGTGTACACCTTGTAGCTACTTAACAGATCATTATTTCGAGTGTTGGACTAATGTGTGTAAAACAACAACAACAGATCCTTGGTACCATACAAAGTGCCACATAAAAAAAAAAATTCTAGCGTTTTGGGAATTTAGCCGAATACACGGGTTACAAGAACAAATACTACCATACTATCATACATACCTGGTGGAATAGGATTTGGAAAATCTTCAGACTGTATAGTTGAGGCGACAGTGATGTTTTCTGAACAACCAGACAGGTAAGCATCTACGGAAAAGCAATACTGAAAAAATACCTCAAGAATATTGTATCTTTATTGAGCTTATTAGGTATAACATGATTATTTCAAATGTCCCAAAAGACATGTACGGAACTTCAAACAAAAGCAAAAAAAAAAATAGGGCAATAAAATACAAAAATCCCATTTAAAAATCGTCCAAATTCACAATTTCCTTCCTTACCATAATAACCCTCAATCTGATATTGACAATAGTCGCCACAAGTTCCCGGGGGACAAATACAGGTACAGTTCACACCCAAGTATCCGTCGTTCTTGCAAGGGTCCGCGCTCTTTCCGCAGGCTTTTACCCACTTATCTGTGAAGCAAAGTCTCTCTATAGTCTTTTTTTCCCCCGTGGAAGTCGAAATGCAAATAAAAAATCATTGGGCTGTTTATGTACGTTAATATCCAATATAGAGGAAGTCTCTCTCGAAAGACTTATGGATTCCAAATGGTGGTAGAAACATATGAAGCATGTGATAACTTTAGCAAATTTAGCTTTTATGCAACCTACATGCATTCGTATTACAAGCATGAAAAGTTTTACCAGGCACATTTTCCCCTTTGTCCAAAATATTAACGAATACTGACTGTCCAACAAAGAAGAAAACTATGATTGAAAAATGAACAGTGGTATATCATTCTAGAAATAAAATTGAATAAAATAACCCTCATTTGTGCCTAAATTAGCCACAGCTATAACCTACCTATGCAATTGTACATGCGATTGACCAGCAACTTGTCTCTGTGACTCAACTTATCCATGGATCCAACAAGTTCTTGGAGAAGAGGGTTGACAGTAGACAAAGTCAGACCACCATTGTAAAAGGTCTACGGGAGAGGAGGAAAAAATGTTTTAGTGCACGTCTTGAGAGAGAGAGAGATGAATTAATTTGATAAGGTTTATTTATAGAATCGTAAATGCTTTCCTGTCCAGCGCATTCACCCAAACTGGCTGAGCGTCTGTTGTAGTCAGGCCATTCGTCGGGTATCAGTTACGCATTTCTACTGGACTGCGCCGCAAATCTTACCTTATCTATACGTCTTATCTTAAAAAAACATCGTCTTATCACGTAAAAAGACCAAATCCTATAGTAAAATTAATTTAATCAAGTGATATTCTTTGGACATTTGACGGACAGGATGTAATAAAGAAAAAAGTAAGACTGCGACTTGAGGTCTTGCACAATTTATTACAAATTGAGTTTTATCTCCAAAACTGAACTGCATCCTATACATACTGCATAACCTGTAACCAGCTGTCCAAGCAGTGCTCTTAGGATGCCAGATGGGGCCACGCCCTATTTTGCTCATCTTTTCTGTAGATCAAGCTTCGTTATCACTACCAAAAATAAAGGTTCTGATCTCCGTGTGGAATGCAACTTTGTCACAGGATGGTATTTCGAGAACGAGAGAAAACGAGATATAGATAACGAGAGAAACCGAGATACAGAGAACGAGAGATGGAACATTAGAAAGAAAGAGCATATATATATATATATATATATATATATATATATATATATATATATATATATATAAGACTACAAACAGACAAAAAGGAGACCTTATCCCCTGGCAGAACCCACACCCCTAAAGCGTTCCAAACCCCCTCATACCTTCGCTCTGTAGTGCATGATAGAAGTGAGGTCGTACTTGACCCCGTAGTTGTTGATGGAGTTCAGCTTCGCCTCATCGAAGTTGAACCTCGAACTCTGCAGGATGTTGTTGGTGTTCACGCGGACCTCCTCGTCGCGGTCCGGTCGAGACTGCTCGTGGAAGAGGCCCAGGGCGTGGCCGACTTCGTGGACGGCGGAGACTGATGGAGGGAGGGAGAGGGAGGGAGGGAGGGAAGGGAAGGGAAGGGAGAAGGGAGAAGGGAGAAGGGAGGGAAGGGGAAGGGAAGGGAGAAGGGAGGGGAAAGGGAGGGAGAAAGGGAGAAGGGGGAAGGGAGGGAGAGAGGGGGAAGAGGGAAGGTGGAGCGGTGGAAGGAAGGGGGATATTTAGGTTTTCGAAGGGTGAGACATATATCATGATATATATCATGAAATAGTATATATAAAAAAATAACAGTAATAAACATGAACATGTAAAAACCTCCCCTCCCAAAAAAAAAGCGGAGAAGCATCATAAAGCACGAAAATACATGCAGAAAAGAGAAAAGTGGCCCCTCCCCCCCGCAATAAATAAATAAATAAATAAAATAGATAAATAAAAATAAATTACATACAAAACAACAAACGAGGAACCCGCCACGAGCAGACCACCTACCAAGCCACAATTCTTGCCAATGGAGATGTACTGGCCATTGAAGAACCAGATTCGGCCGATGTAGGAAAAGCAGCCGTTGCCCTGGAAGAACTTGAGGTGGGGTTCCGCCGCGCTTCCCTGCTTCGTCTCGAACTTGACGCAAGTGTGAGTCGTCCATTCATCCATCGCCTTCAAGCAGGTGTCTCGGTTTACCTTTGCTGTGGAGAACGGAAGGGGGGGGCGGATGAGTTAGGGTTGGGGGGGGGTGAGGGGTGAGTAAGGGTTGGGGGAAGGGATGAATTAGGGTTGGGGGGCGAGGGATGAATGATTTAAAGATTTAGTTTTAATTCCATTTGTTACAATGGATATTCTTTGCTATGACACTTTTATTTTGCTTCCAAATCTCCCCGTGTGTAAGGAATGGCCGGGGTTACCATTCACTAGTAGCGCACAGGATTGAATGCAGGTCCGCAAGATTGCTAGGCTAGCACGTTACAGCTGCGCCACACAGCATGCACATAAGGGTTGGGGGGAAATAATGAGTAAGGGTTGGGGGGGGGGATTACTACTACCACTTATTAAACTACGACTGCTCTTACTTTTAATGTTGTGACTACTACTATACTACTTTCATCACTGATACAACTAACACAACCATTACCACTACTTACTGATTATACTTATTTTATCACAGACGCTGGTCTCGTCTTCCTTTGAAACGATTATTGGTATTTTTTTTTACCGAATAGATATGTGGATAATGCAAACACACCAACATAATACAAACCCAACCGCACTGCACTGCCATAACTTACTGTCTGCAAATGTATAAGGCACGAGTGGATACCCCTCAGGCCCGTCAGTCCAGTGGTATTGTGTGTCCTTAATAGCCTTCTTCCCCTCGGTGCCGT